TGAACACAAATGTGGTCACGACCTCCCATAAAAATACATATAATACTCATTCATGCTTTTAACAATTTCAAATAATGAATGTATTACCCAGCTCTGGCACGTATTTATTATCATGGCCTATGATTGTCTACAAGTAAAAATAACTTATATCTTTTTTTTTTCGTTAACTTTTAATTCGAATTTGTGTGACGTAGAAACCGGTCGAAAGAAGGTGTACTCGTTCGACGCTATAGTTTACAAGTAGAAATATGCAAAAAAAAGTACACATCAAAAACAGATTCACGTACACATGTTCGTATGAATGCAACTTGATTTTTTTTAAAGCACGTACTTAAAAAAACGCAAAGATAATAAATATTTCGTTCGAATTCTATTGGAAATTAAACCGGAACGACTACTTGGCATTGACAATTCGAAATTGTTTGACCTAATTTTCGTTCGAACATTGGACAGCCGATAAAATATGATGATGGGAACATTAACGTTGTTAAGAAAATCATCTTTTTTTTTTCTTCTGTCGGCTCATTTACACTAAGTTGGCTATCAGTTTCATATGGTGCCGACAATTTACGAATTGAATGGATGAACAATAACACATTCACACCACACACAATCTAATTGTATGCTGCCCTTTTTGCAAATAATATTTACTAAATATTACCATTATATTTTTAGAACAAAGACGACAACAATGCAATGATTTTTTTTAATATCGTATTCGTGCATTGGCTCAATCGTATAAATTAATTTGAAGAAAACAAGTGTTTATAAATTCATTTGAAAATTGAACGGCATCTCACTTAAATATGTAATCAAGTGGATGTCGTATTGTTTCACTTCAATATCAATTTAAAATGAAATTCCATGTAGTTTTAGTGTATAACAAGTCAAAATAGATTAATTTGATACAATAAGATTGGCAGCGCCAAAATATCTTTCATGAATCTCTGGCCTCCAACTGTATAAACGGACATATTTTACATGGTCTATTTTTAAAAGCAGCGCAAAATAAAATTGGCGCATGCACTTTAATTATACTATTTGTAAATTTCTGTTTACAAAACTTTTCTACGTTCAAATGTTGTGTTTTTTTTTCTTCTCCATTGCTATGCTCAAGTTTTATGCGCAAAAAATAAAAGCATTTCTACTGGACATTGGATTTTAATTTTCTAGTATGTGCATGTACGTTGTAAATCGTGTTGATTACTCTTTTCTCTCTCTTAGTATGCAATAAGTCATATCTTATTTGACAAACGTGTCGACAGGCCCATTAATATTTCACATACATACAAGTGATTTCCATGTTGTAGGCGAGAATCGGTTGAATCATATGCATTGTATTTTGATTTTGACATAACAATTACTATACATGATCGATATTGCTAAAACAACAATTCCGATGCATGAAATGACCAAACCGAAATACATGAGAAACGATACGCACGCTCAATTCACAGATGATGATGGTGATGATGATGTACACACACAACCAAATTTATATGAAACGAAATCGTAGCAACGATGACGAACATGCGTATGCGTGTACAACCATCCACAGCGTGCGTTTCATTTGGCATAAGAAGGTTCAGTTTGCTTATGTACACATACTCAGTTATGCTCGCATTTTAGCATTTCAAAAATCCATGATATTTGAATATTGCTCATTCTAATGGTACCAAATGAACCGATTTTTTTTAAATGCATTTCTACTTATATACATAATTGGCCATTAATATTATATTTTGGAGATATATACGGATTTTTATTTGCTCGAAAACAGCAAGATACGAATGAAAAAGTACCGGATCCCGCATTGATTTACAGAAAACTGTGCGATAATGCTTCATATCTCAGTGTGCATATTTCATTATTCCCTGCACGCATATGTATATAAGAAAAGCCCCCGACACTTTAATCATTCAATTCTACAACAGTCATTCATTCGAGCGATTATTAATTCAGTTAATCCAGATTGAACATTACAAATGTTTTATAGTTAAATACCACAGCATGGTATTGATTTGATTTTGTTGCTGAGCTTAGACGAACGCATTTCATCTCAAGCACTATAGATGAATGTACTCTTATTAACATAAACATATCATCATGCAAAGCTGCCGCTTTCTTTTAAATTTAAAATAAAATTACAGTTATTTTGTAAAAATGTCTTGCATGTATGACAATAATATGTAAAACGTACTTTCGTTTGCTTTTCTCTTGCGATAAAGAAATCTGTTGACAAATTTGTTAAAATGACGCGATTTGATTTATAGTCTTCAATAAATTGTATAGAATTCTTGGAATATTTTTTTTTCTCGTTACAACTCATAGTTCAATTGGAATTGAATTTGTATGATAGCTGTAAACGTAATAGTTCATATCGGGAATCTATCGTTGACAAATGATCTAATTTCGTATCTCATGAGTTTGTAGAGAGAACCATTATCTTCACGTTTTTGCAAACAGGTAGTAAAAATTATATTGACTTTACCTGATTAAAAGAAGAGCTGTGTCGTGTGACACTGTCAACGTATCTACTGAATACAGTGGCACTGGCAAAAACAATATGACGAAACATTTATAAATATTTCAGATTCATGTGATAAGTTTGATAGATCTGATGGAAGTTCTAGCCACCTTGGGAGATTTATCTAAAGAAACACGCAAACAAATTCGATAACATATGATTGTGAGCGCAAATAGATAGTTAGACCATGTGATTGGATTAATGCATGTGTGCGCTTATGCATATGAAGTATACATCAGCTTAAGTATAACACAATATTCTATGTCGTTATTATTTAATATCGAGAATATGCATTTTTTATATAAATTAAAAACTTCATGAAACTTGGAATTCATATACTAAAGTTTACCATTGAGTGGCATTTGAACAAGCTTGAAACACAATTTTCCTTTATTTATGTCTGTGTTTATTTCAATTGGACATTTATTATTTTTTTAAATCATTTTTAAAAGTATTACAAATCCCACGTTTGACGATTGCTTCATGTGAACCAACGAATCGAGGGGTCATTGTTTATATTAAAAATGTGCTTTGCTTTCAAACCATCTCTGTGGAGCTCTGCTTAAAAGCAATGTGGCGCTTGATGAGAGAAATTAATAGCAAAGGATTAGATTCGTCTGAGTCGTGACGTCTCTATGTACGATTAGAATGAATTTATGCATTTTTTTTTTTGTAGAATTGTTGAAAAGAATTTATTCTTAATGGTTTATATGTGGTTATATGATGATTTTGGTGAACTTTTTCTCTTCTTTAAAGGCTCATTGCTGACTTTCAATGTGGAATTTCCAAACTGGATGCCCATTTTTATACTACATTGTCAATTTCATCCATATACGTATAAAATCTGCCAAAAAAACGTGGGAAAATCTTGGCGCTCATTTTCTATAATAATAATTCTATTTTTGATCCAGATTATAAGATAACGTAAATCAGCGCGAATTTGGTCGTAAACCATTGAAAGAGAAAATTAAGTATCGAAAAATGAAATGTCCAACTGTTCAACCGTTTGGAAACATTTCGATAATTTTATAAAAAAAAAATATTCTTTCCGATTTTCCATTTCATTTTATAGTATAGACAAATAATTGAAGGCTTACGACTCCTTCTTCTCTATATCTGCCACTCGCCGTACGGCACCATTAAAAAAAACAATGTACTCTAACGCTTTAATAGTAGCACTCTTTTAATAGAAAGTCGACTGTGTTTGACTCGTAGATTCAACATTCATCGCTCAAAGAAGCTTATTGGCTTTGAATGCACTTTGAAAGCAACAAGTTTTCAATTCTTAGAAAACATTGTACAATGAAACATTTATAAACAAAAACGATAAGTGAAATTGAACTACTATAAAAACAACTTATTTTTTCATTTATAGAGATAAAAATGACTGAATGCAGAGTCAAACAAAAACACACCGAGACTATCAATCCAAATTAAAATCAATAATCTTCACTCGGATGTTTTTCATTACTAAATAATTGTTGTATTTTTACTGAAATTGTGACAGTATTTTCTCGGGTCAGTATTCAAACATTTCTCCATCGATTCCAACCATTTATGATTATGTGCAAAAATAATTTCTCATCTGAAAGAATTCTTCATTCGAGTAACTCAACAACATTCTAATTAAATTCAATTTTGTTTTCTTCGTCTTATAAAAAACCATATTTCATATCAGCAATTAAATGATGTAATGCAAAATAAATGTTTCGTTGACATTTTTGTATATTCAATTGAGCGAAGGTGTTGTGCAAAGGCAAGATCTATACGCAAATTTCATTTTATTGCTTCGAAAACAAAAAAAAAGAGAGAATATATCAATACGCGTTAGTATCACATTATTGGCGACGAGGTTAAATGTAAAAAATTGCCATCTGAATAAACAATTTGGTGATGTAAAGAAAAGCCATCAGAATATCTTTTGTGTGTGTGTGTGTGTGTGCTTTTCGTGTCGATTTTAATATTGCTTTTGAGTGTTATTTTTGTTTCGGTTACGAATTAACAGTGCGCACGAAAGAGCCGAATTCGAAAAGCGATTCATTTCATGAACGACAAAATCGAAATTCTGGCATACATCAACCACACATCAACACGAAATAAAATACACGAAATGTTTGAAGAATGCGTTTCTATATGTAGAATTCCTGAATGTCAATTAGACAATTCATTTTGAAAATATTTGTTTCGCCGAAATGTTATTATATTGAACGAATGTTCGAAGCCGTTCGCTTCTTATTGTTTTCAATTTCGTTTGAAATGTTTTACATGGCAAGTGCTGAGTCAATTGTGATGACTGATATCGATAATGATCGATATAATGACAATTTGGTGATTCGAATAATTCACTCCTGTATGGAAACATCAGCAAATTTTTATCTATACTATTTAAATATTATGAAATGATGATGTGAGGATAGAACGAAAAAAACGAAACAGATATTGAGTTGAAAATATAATTATGAGAGATACTTACAGTTGTGTCAGCCAATTCTTGGTAATATGATTCACCACTGCCACGTCTTGAGGATCCAACGCACATGGCACGTCGTACCAATCGTGAAAACATTGAGCAAAGACCACATCTTTGCATATTACCATCGACAGAGCTCTGTCGTGAACTAATTGTTGATGGTGGAGCTGAAAGGTGGCCACGCTTGGCACCTTCACCAGCTCTTTTCGCCGCGGCCACTGTGACGTTTTTCAAATATCGAATTTCGTCCAACAAATGATTGAAACCACTTTTTGTCTACCTTTTTCTTTTCTTTTCTTTCCAATGACAATCAATTCTTGCTCTTCGTTTTTCAATTTTTTCAAATTAATAAAAAAAAATAATAATATGTCTGACCAAAAAAAGCAGTCTATTGTGTATTCCCCGGCTCGCCAAACTGTAATACTCTTGCGTTACACCAGCACAATTCACACTGAAAATATTAATTTTCATCCACACAAGTTTTTATCATTAGTGTTGTCAGTTATTTTTATTTAATATGGCATGCTTTGTCTATTTTTTCCTCCTTATTCCCAACAACACCCACTGAAATTGAATGAAAAAAAAAAATCAGGACTTCTCAATATATTGAAGAGAAAACGTGTAACGCTTCTTGCTCACAGCTTTCGTCTCTATTAACGCGTAACATCGTCGCCGAATGTGGTTCTTATAAATAACTATAACACTATTCGTGATGAATTTCTCAATACGATACGATATGATACGATGCGATACGATAATAGAAATACAAAATACACTGATGAATATGAAATGATGATCGTTGCTACAATCGTATTATAAGACATTTCCTATGTCAAAGATTGAGAACCAACAAATTGACCAATTGCCACTTTGATACAGAGAGGCTGTGTCCGTGAGAAAGAAAAAAGTATCGATAAAAAAAAACAAAAGCCAAATCATGCCGAATCGGTAAATTTATTCACATTACGAATAAGTTTGCCAGATAAATTGCACAATATCGTTATAACACTTTTTTATAAAGCGTTTGTTTTAAAAAAAATATTCTCGCAAAGATAAATTGTATGATTAATCTTTGACATCTAACATTCAGTGTTTGTAATTTTTCAACAAACCTTACACAGAGCGCACGCACACCCATAGTTTCATTTGTGATTTGTTTTTGCCTATTTTCTTTTTTTTTACAAAGATTATCTGATTTTTGATCTCGATTGACATCGGCGATAAAATACTATGACGTATTTGCAAGGTATGTCCCAGTGCCCCTCTTTGTTAGTTTGTCATTGAAGAAACAAAAAAACATGTTCGGATTATAAATTGGTAATTGGCCTTTTAGAAGAATAATTCGGGTGCGAATTCAATAAATGCAAACGATTCGTTGAAAACGTAAAGAATTACGTGAAATACTACGAAAGGAAATATGATTTTTATAGTTGATTTGGTTACCCTTTATCTAGCTTTTTTTCTTTCGTTTATACAAACAATTGACACGTCGTTAATATTGTCTTCGTCGCCGTACACCGACACATGAGTGGATGAATGATTGAATGAATGAACGAGTGAATCAAACAAATACGTGTAAACAAACAAATAATTTGGTGTACGACAATAACAATATAATAAGCAGGGAGCTGAACCTTAAGTATCTTGCACAGAGATACAATGTGATTTTAAATTGTAATTGTCGAGTATATATAATTTTATTATCTAACTAGCAGCTTTGCGGCACGATAAATTACCGTTTACTCGCTACACGCATCTGTGTATGCATCATTACATAAATCGGAACATGCATATTTCGAACGCTTAACAATGGAAATGTCTATTACTCGCATTTGTTTTCCAATCAGCGTTACGGTTCATAAAAAAAAAAAACAATTTAAAAAATTATGTGTTCGCCACGCATTTCTTTCAACATTACGCAATTCAATCAATGAAACGTTGATAATTCGAAAATAATATTTACACATCGTTCAAATACGGTACGTTTTAAAGGCAGCACCTCTATGTAAATTGAACGTCAAGTATTTTACCCTTTGGTAGCGGATTTTACGTAGTTAAATTTCATTTGAAAAATTGGCATAAGATAAGAGATAAGACGGTAGGCAAATCGATGTTAAACGAACGGTTATTACATTATTCCCGTTTATTGGAAAAAATTGTGCCTATGAAATATATTTTAAAAAAGAAGAGTCAAGGTTCTTAATGAAAATATTCTTTCTTCTTTCTCGGTCAATATTCGTCTGCTTATAAGATCTGATATATAATGTTGCAGTTTCTCTCTCTCTCTCTCTTTCTTATGAATAGCATTGGCGATTAGATTGTAGCGATGAATCAAAAATTAATCCGTAATGTACATCGCAAGTGAAATGAAAATCATTGTATGCACAGATGATGGTTTTTGTTCTGTTAATTTAGGATTTTTTGGGGGCGATTTTTTTCGTTTTCTTTCTCTTCTTTATTTTCACGTGGGATTTTGCGTATACCTAAATGATAATAGACTCAGGTAAGGGCAAAAAAAAATGTGTGCAGAGATTACAAAATCTGCGAACAAATGCGTCAATCATTTTAATTTTATTGCTGCTATGTGGCACGGTAAATTAATTTTCGAGTTTGAATATTCATAGTAACCGTTTCGATGTTGAATTTATGTTTTTGCGAGTACAAATATTGGAAAGATTGTCAAATGTTACACGTTCACGTTCTATCATTTCCGCTGGAAGGCTTACAGCCATGCACATGTGTGGACGTGGATTGTATAGGCTTTTTTAACAACAGAGCTAATACGATATATAAAGAGAGTTGTTATGCCTATGTTCAACAAATGACTTTGTATTAACAAAAGGTCCCACTAGCGGTAGCAGACAAAAACCTATTCATTCGTTTACCGTTGAAATAACCGAGCGCAGTGAAAAGGGCTAGATAAAAACGCAAATGGTTTTACCCCCCATCGCCATCGATATAGCACTGTACATCACGGTGGATGTTTCTATAAACTAGATTGAAGTCTTATTCTGATTCTGATCAGAGGATTTGGATGCGAGTTTACTTGATCTATATTCGCATATGTATTGGCATGAATGCGACGTGCACATAAACGAACACACGTTCGCTCAATTACTTTGATATAAATAAGATTCTTTCAATTTTTTTTGCTCCTTTCATTTGCTTAATATCATACTCGTTATTTTATGAAGAATCTATAAGATTCACGCATACAGCGCACATTTATTTTTTTTAGCTGCATGTGACTGTTAATACATTGAGGCGGTGATATAACATAATGTGATTTCTTTCAATGATACACATCTTTTTTGTATCAACATTTTACTTTCATCTCTTCATCTCACACGAATTCCCTTATTATGACTTATTTTTTTTATCGTAGTATCAAAATAAATTCGTTTTCAGATTTAAGGAAACGCAGAAAGAGAGCGAGAGCGAGAGAGATAGTGATGCAAAGAGAAATAAAGAAGGGAACATCGAAGTCCCGTAAAAAAGTCAAATTTAAAATGAAAATGTGATTTTTTTTTAATTGACTTTATTTTTAGAAAAGTTAATCAGGTTCATAAAGATGAACAGCAGAATACGCAGCTCAAACACACAAGCTGAATGAATAAATATTCGTCGAAAATGTTCAAAAGGGGACAATCGAATTCTTTGGTCGTTCTCATTTACACTGAGAACAAGATAATTTTAGCCGTTGGCCGTTTGCTTTATTGCGCCCTCAGCAAATTATAGCAATTGTGCATATAGGCTAATTGCGAATATAATGCTCCCAAAATAAAAAATGCGGATGCTATAGTCTACGACACTACTGAATAATCAATTGAAATTCTATTATGAATTTTTATGTATGGTAGGTGAATTGAAGTTGCTCCGATTTGATTCGCATGCTTAATGTGTTTGTTTATCCGATTTAAGGATTCAGCCAGCGAACGAATTAACAGACATAATGAAACGAAGAAAAAAAAAAACAACAACAAATGAGTTCTGGCAGGCATGCTGTGTTAATGATCATATCTCAATTGAGTGTATTCTCGTCAAACGGAGCACATGAAAGTGATGTGTATTGGAAAATGGCCTTGATGAAATTGAGTAAAGCTTGAATTTATCGGCGCATCACAGTTGTCGTGAAAATGTTTTGAATAGCTTTTGCTCTTCGAAATCTCTCCGCAAGTGTTCAATTCAAATAATTTTTACTACTTACAGTTATGTTTATGTGTCTCTAGTTCACTTTTCGTTGCATGGACGATCCAATCACATTTCGTTTTTGTTTGTAATGTGCATTTAATAGATTTGTATGTTGTTGTTGCTTCATACACTTTCGATTTAACATTCATGTGTTGTTTTTTTTTTTGGCTTTTGTTTGACTTGAGTGGATCAGAATATATTCGTTTCTTTTGGCAACGGGAAGCGTAAGGGTAGACTGACAAGTCTACTAAATACGAAGACATATGAAACGTGTGGTACATACAACAAATATATTATTCTTTTGATGAAACACATATCAGTCGTGATTTTATGGCAGCGCATCGATTCATTGTGATTGAGCGCTCGGCGTGTGTGCTATGAATGCGAGTACCAGATTGCTTGAATTCCATACACGTATTAGAATATGATGTAAAATCGTCGCATACATATGAGTGTATGCGTTGACTTGCTGTATGCAAAAGAAACATAGAATGTCGAGACAAGCAAATATTTGAGCAATTGATTACAATATTAATAGCAAAAAGCAGCACCAGCAATAACAAAAACGACCACAAATAAATGGGACTTTCCTCACATACACAAACATCGTGTGTCGTGTTTCTTTCTTACTTCTACACACATTTTACGAAAAAAATTATTATGTGTTCTCTGTCATCCATTGCATTGGATATCAAGGAATCGAAATGGGGCTAATGAATGGCACGAGAGTGAATTGGATTGCGTACGGGACAGCTGAATTGGGATGAGCTGTGTACCAATTGATAAGAGAAAAATATTGTTTAAAAAGGATGCTGTATTCTCCAAAACATTTATGTGTGTCCGCAAGCGCTGTCAGAAGGCACGTTCATCTTTTTTTTTTTTTTAATTTGATCTGGGCCAACCGTTCGAAACTCCATAATCCCCAAAAAAAAAAATTAACGCATTTTTTACGTCATCGAAGATAACTGCTTGATGATAACTCAGATGTATGAATACGTCAATGTCACTTTTGACTTATTTGATCCGTTGAACGGAATATAGATGGTACAAAAATTGAATATAAAGTAAAAACACAGGTTGAACCAACAAATATTCGTTCTGTTTTCTAATTTCGTTTCACTTTCATATGCAACATTCTAATGTCGTTGAACTAATTTTGTATTTTTTTTTTAAATTTCTTCGTGTATCAATACGTCTATGCGTTGGTCTACAACAAAAAATAAATAAATAATAAATCGATGTGATTGAAAATGCTGCCGCTTAAATTTCGTAGATGCCAATTCATATATCGTTTGTTTGTAAGCAGAGAAAAAAGAAAACAAACGAAAAAGTGACAAACTTTTTTTTCTTCTTCTTCTCAATTTGTGTACAATTAACAATTTACAATAAATCACATTCATGCGAGTGTAATATTGAGTGTGTACACTTCAATTCCGGCACACTTCGTTTTATTTTCTCTTCTATTTTTAACATGTTTCCATTTAATCAATTCACTGCACCTTAGAATGTTCGATCAAAACATTATTATTACAACTAACTCATGAACATTATTATTTTTACGTGAATATTTATTTTTAAACATGTTTTCTTTGCATTCTCGCTTCTTCATTGACACAATAATCAAACTGTAGTGCTTGGGAATTCGTTGAAATGACGAAAAAAATATATATAAGTGATTGGTTATTAACAAGACAGCATGTAACTTAAACTAAATCAAGCGAGAGAAAAAAAAAACGTTGTGAATTTGTTTTCTATGTGTAGAAAATGTGTATATTTATTATTATTATTTTTTTCTCTTCTTCTCTCAATTCAATTGAATGATAACGCACCACGGATGTTTTATGAATTATATACTTGTGCCTAGCCTGGTCGAGCTGAGACTGAGGTCAGAACGTATTACTGAGACTGTATGACGTTTAGTGGTGGTGTTGCTGCTACTTGAAACTGTGTATTTGTGTAGCGTATAATCGTTTAAACAGCAAAGGAATGAGTTCGCTGGCTTGTGTTTGTATTGACAGTCCCAGTGATTGTTGTAAGTATTGGTGCACGTAAGAATGTGCGTATCCATACATGTCTGTCTGTGAGTGTGTGTGTGAAAAGAAATGCAAACAATCACAGACACAGGCGCACTCATCAATCACAAATAAAGATGTATATAAAAATTACAGTCATGCGGCCATTGAAGTGATCAGAAGGTTGTTCGCCTCCGTAAAAAAAAAAATATTGTTTCACACAATCAACAGCAAATATGGAATACATGCATGCATTAGAAACGGTGTAAAAATGTCGCTGAAACACTCTGTCTATTCTGTCAGATCAAATTTAATGGAGACAGCAAAGAAGAAGCAAGAAAAACTCCAAGTGAACACTATCTCTGTTGTTCATTCATTTTTTCTTTCTTTCTCTAACACTGCCGCCAAATATCGCACGCAAACGCGTCTAGTTTGTGCTTTTGTATCATAACGACGATAAAACACAATATATTTGATGCGCTAACATGTGCATTTACAATGTATACGACAGGCGTGATGTCCAAAATAAAATCGAAATATCAATGATATTCGCTTCAGGCAGCAAGCTTTCAAAATAACTAGTTGCAAGTTAAATGGCTTGCGGCTTGATTGCAATTAGTTCAATATTTTGTGGGCCACAACGACATTCAATTTATTGAGTTGTATAGCTGAGTATTAGCTACTGCTACAACTCCATTTAGACGCATACAAACTGTATTTTTTTAAAACCCACATTGACTTTATAAATGTATGCGTACGCGCTTTGCCTCATGTAGGACGGTGTAATGAACGAAATCAACAATAATATAGCAAAAAAAATCTTTAGCGTATCAACTTCTCGTTTTGGTAAAGTATTTTCTAGGTACTTGCTGGAAGCATCGCATGGACGATAACATTCATTTGAATTGAATGTGTTTGTGTCGGAACTCACAACTCGAATGATATTCTGGTGTGTTAAAGATTTTTTTCGCCTCGACTTTATATCAATGAAAATTCTACATTTTTATTATCGTTTCCATATAAGTGCCACCATTTTTGATGTGCCATTGTACGTATCAAAGCATACACATGTACATCTACAAGAAATGACGGATAGAATGATAGCGCACATTGCAAGACCAACACATGAGCGCAAGATGCTATATATATATATATATAATATTTTAGTAAAAACGCTTGCGCACAGCACATCACAATTCCAATACAACATTGCTCAATCATGAGCTTTCATATACATGAATATTTGCCAAATTTGCGATACAATATCTATATGGTTAACTCAACTTCCTTCCAGGTCCACCGTTACTTTGCTATCCATCCATAAAACGGAATAGAAAAAAAAAGGATGCGTTTCTTTCTGGTTGAATATGTATTATATTCTCTTTTATTCAAAATGTGATATTTTAACATCGAAACGTGTCTGCTATAGCAGCCCAGTGAATTTAACACTTTATTATAAGTTACGTTTACTGTTGCGTATTGTGAATAAAACTAACACGCGTATCAAGTCACTCCTCTCACTCATTGCATTACATTTTTTGCTCATGGTTGGAATCATCGCACCTAAATACAATGCACGTAATTAATATTATTCTTATGAGAAAAGCTTAAGTGTCATATGATTTTTCTTATCGCCAAATATCATCAAATAGTTTCAAATAACAACCGACAAAATGGTAATGCAATTTAAATCGCAACATCAGATACATACCCGAACACCCATCAAACGTATTTATCTCATTAAATTATTAATTATTGCTAATTTATACTTTGTCGTTATTCAAATATATTTATTGCATTATAATGTACAAAATGTAAATTATGGCCTATATTTCAATTCACATATTTCTTCATTCACTCCAAATGTCTTAATGTTAGTTTTTTTCTTTCAAATAAACTTATTAAGGTAGCGCCAATTTTAGTGGTCCAAATAAATTCAAAATGATCAAGACCAACGAAAAAAATAAATCATATTTGCTACCGACTGCTTTCTGTTGTATGTTGATATTATTGGATGTACACTGTACAGTCAATGGAATTCAAGAAAATGCCTTTTTAATTAAAAAAAAAATAAATGTTGTTGAACACGAAACTATCACCATTTCATCGAAAGAAAATGTTCAAACTCGGTTTCTTGTACGCTAGAGAATAAGATAAATTATTAATTAAAATACTTGCCCTGAAATACCACCAATTAGTACCATGAAACACACCTTATAGTTAGTATCAAAAGATATTGGAATAACACGTTCAAACAATAGTTCGATTGAAGGAATTGATAAATAAACATTTATTTGAATGACTTGATTGAATGGTTGTATGCATTTCATTCAATTTAATTGTCCCAATTTTAAAAAGAAATCACATTTATTGCACAATTTGATTGAGTTTCATTTGTTTTGAATAACTTTGAATTTGTATTCAACTATTTCACTTTGTTTTGGTGATCAGAATCAATTACTTCAAAGTCTAGTTTATGTCAATTCTTTTTCTGGATCCATTGCATTCAAAGAGGGTACTGGTATATTCCATCTCGATATTGTCCAGTTTACAAGTCGTTACTCATTATAATATTTAAACACTCTTTGAAGTGCTTAGCATGTCGGTATAATACTGTATTATAGGCAATAGATACATAAACACCTGCTTCACTTAAAACGACGCTACAAAGTTGGTTTCGCTTAAATTCTATTTCGGTGAAATGAAGGGATTAGCGAAATGAAGAGATATCTTTGCAAATGTATAATTTTTTGCTAATAAACGCAATTGCTACTGAAGAAAGTCAAATATCAAATACTGGTTCAATAAAAGGCAAAAACTGTCATCATAAATGTTGTGGTTGACACATTGCTCTATTTTTAAAAAATATCCTTAAATGCATACACTTCCATACATTTAATTATACTTTAAATTATACGTACGCAATAAAGGAATATTATCTAGTCCTACCAAGACAAATCAATAAAAAAAATGGATCTATATTCGGATAGAAAATCAACAATGGATGTAAATGAATAGAATAGGGTCGGAAGCTTTCTGTCGTGAAGTCAGAGTCGTTCACATTATTTCAACCATACTTGCTTGAAATTAAACTGACTTGAAAATTGGAAGAGATAAATTTTCTCTTTCGTAAAAAAACACTTTCGTCAGTTCTGGTTTAAATGTGGTTAAAACTTTATTCTATACTATGAATATGAGGATGCAGTGTACAAATTGATTTCTTGTATCCGAATTTCCATCTTAAAATGAAAAACATAGTAACCGTATACATAGATCACGCGTTGTGCATGAGAAAATGTTGATAAACAGGTAAGCACTTTATGGTTGAATAAATTTGCTTAACTTTATTGATAAGTGAAGAAACAATTTATCGATGTGCGACGTGCTAGGCGACGCGTTCTTTACCTGCATACAGTACAAAATGTATTTCTCCTTGAATAATTAAAAAATAAATACTATTTGCATACATAACATGGAATAACTATATTCATTCAACATTGTTGAATGTGACACCAATATTCGACAAAATTTGAGCTAGTTGGCAAAAATGGGCTACAATAAATGCTTGAGAGAGAAAGAGAGATTACAAACGAAAACAAATATTGGAAAAATGTTTTCCCCGTAGAAAAGTTTCTATTTAATATGTTGCAACGTTATTCTAGAGTGTGTTACTATACAACTTTGTACAACATTGTAACTTACTTCCGTTATCTACGAAAAAAAAAACAAATACTTTATGCAATTTGTTGCAAGTTCGTTTCTTTATATACTATGATTGTACGAGATTTGATGCATAAATTCCACATCATTGTTTTCCAATCGAAACATAGCATTATTATCATCCAGCTGAGGACTAAGCCTGATTTTAGATATGAAAACCCATTTTCTCCTTAATTTACATATCATGGGCTTTCATGGGATTCGTTGGAAGACTTCTGACGTCATAGCTAAGCATATGCTCAATATAACATGGAATAGAGTAGGACATTATCACCGTCTGCTTGAATAGATATATCCATTTAACGCGATGGATGGCAATGCTTTCAAATAAAATCATGTACAGGGGCACTTTTTTCAGTTTAAATTATGGTCTCAAGTCCTTTACAATGGTTACCATTTTCCACTTCCATCCAAAAAAAAAAAATCACGTTCGAACATTGTCGTAAAATAGATTTGTAATTTTACAAATTGACAGATAAAGGTATGTGATTTGAGCTACATGTTTTCGAATTGTGTTTTTTTTTTACATCCGAAAATTCGAGTTTCTTTTTTTTTGTATTTTAATATATTTCAAGTTCCCTTTGCGTTTTTGTTGTTGTGAAAAGGGATACAAATGAAATAGCTGCTTGAATGTGGCTTTTACCTGTTTATTACCTGGATACAGTGACTGCCGCAGATTTGATGATACTTGTGAAAGATTAACTAGACTGATTTTTACAAAATCAACGTGTCACTGAATTATCCATAAATTTTCGTCGAATTGTTTCACATTTTTTAATGTGGTTGATGTTGTCTTGGTACTTTTGATTATTGTGATGTTACAAAAAGCTTTTGAGCGTCTGCATTGTACATGTGTCTTTTTTTCTTTTGCTATTTATGAAACAGAATGCTTTACGTTTTGACAGTTTATTGCCAAGAATATGCGTGCCGCTAATAATTTGTGGTGGCATCATTTGCTTGAACACATCGTAAAGACATAAGAAATGCAATAATGTTTGACTCCAAATATCTCAAATCGTTTGGAATGAATCCGCACTAAATACCTTTATGCATTGGACTTGAATTGGAGATTCTTTTTACAATAAATTTAACGAATAATACGCTTACCAAACTGATAGGTGTGAGTGATGTTTTTCCAATCCAACATGAGCATGTATTATATACATCGGATATGTATTCATTCAAGTGTTCTGAAATTTATATGTTTGAAGTTCGATCAAAAGCAAATTTTCATTCGTATGAAAAGTGTGCACGTGTTTTTTTTTTTTTTTGAATAATTATTTATAAAGACTTATACTTGACTGAATCAATAAAGAACACCAGATTGACACTTTGTAACTTACACGAAAAATTCAATCAAACTTCTGTAACATTTTCTTTGTGTCTGTATTTTAATTTTCTTTCTATTTTTTATCAAATAATGTTTTTTGTTTTTATGACTGCGAGCAATTAGCGGCCATCAAATAAGTTGGTGGAATTAAATAACATTAAAATTTCCAACAAATGAAAATAATCTTTACGATGTGTACCAAAAGAAAACAATGTAAAAGTGACGTTCTTTGAATGTCAGTCTTAACAGTGTTGTAACCAGCTCTTATACACTACAAACTATAGACGGCAGTGGTTTTTTTCTTCATCATCGAATATTTAGTGATAAATGTAAAGAAAAGGCTTTTGATGATTATGTAACCATGTGTTCTAGTCCTTTGAACATTTATTTTATTTCGTACCATTCAACTCTTCAATCTTCACGCTCAATCTAACGCTTATCCAAATTAGAATGATAAAGGCAACTACGCCATAAAGTTGTTCGGTGCATTGGAAAGGAAAGAGGGAGGAGAACTTTGAAAATAGCTACTAGCTTATCATCCAGTCTTTAATTTACTCAGACCAAAAAAAAAAAAAAATTGAAACCATTCTAGCGCATCTTTTTGAATCAATTCAGTGTTTTAAATGATTTATAGATAATACATTCGGTACATAATTGGCACAAATAATTGGCAACATCCTTTGGTTAATTTGTGAGTGCGAATGTAAAACATGTGGGTAATTTTCGGTTTTAATTAAAATGGAAAACCGTAATGACGTTGATTGCAATTTATTTATGTAACGAAATCAACAAAATCATTTGGTTCTCGGTAATAGAATGCAATTAAATTCAAGACAATCCATTGTTTGGATTTTAAACATAGTTTGCAATTGATTTTGGTTCTAATCTACTTTTTGTATGAAAACTTTTTTTTCGAATTGACGTTAATATTAAAAATGTACACTACAGTTGAGAAAAAAATGCTCGATTTTTCTCGAAATTCATTAGGAGTCAGTATAGCTGAATCTGTCGATTGCCCAAAGTTCATTTAGTTAAAATGAAAATGTCTTAATTTAAATAATATTTTCAGAAAAACGACGAAAGTTTTAAAATACCCGGTGCGTTAGTATGCGTTAACATGCGGCAAAATAATATTAGTCTAATGAGTAGGTATTTTACGTTTTGGTCTAAATTTTAAAGTATATAATGCGCATAATTAGTGTAATGGCCATTGTTAAGTATTATATGATCTAAAAACATTGTGTGTTCAATTCAAGTGAACGCACAGAAAGAGCATGAGAACCGAAATGTACTAATAACATAATGACATGTGCGTTGGTATGAGTACGTGCTCGTCAAAACTCACGTAACACAATAACGCACGCCTAATGATTTGAAGTTTATGAGGTAGTTTATAAGGCAGTTTGTAGATGCCTGCGTTCATCATACCGCATTTGTATTCGTGTTCGTGTTCATGTGTAGTCGCGTAAAAGAACTGAAGTGGAGTGCTTTCATACATACACAAAATATCATACATTTTCAGTACATCAATATTGCATTGTAAAGTCGTTTTGTTTAGCAACGATTGCAAATTTTTTTCTTGATTGGTAAAACGGTAAATAGATTGAAATTAATTATTTTTGTCTTTGATTCAAATACAAAAAGACACAAAAAATTCAATAAATATTTACATAAGTTGTTTACATCATGCGAATTGCCACTGTTGGTATTGCTACTGTCATTGTTAGGTTAGAAGAGTAGCTTTTTGTGTTTGGTTTTTAACTTGATTCACTCCAGGAACTTGATGTGAGAAAAAGAATCGAGACTCAAGCAATCGAATTATAAGTGCCATTCACAAATCCAAAGAGACAACAATCAATTTGCATGCAATTGAAATTGACAAAAAAAGAATATAAATGAAAGTGGTAAATTGGTAGTAAAATATATATATTTAAAACACGAATTAAATTGAAAGAAACAAAAAAAAGAAAGAATAATTAACGTAACCTGTAAAAAAAAAAGTTCTTTGTCGTGCTGTGCGCTACTTATATCTATAAAAACAGAGTGTTGTTGGTTTCGTTCACAACATTTCATTTCCCAACACCATCATGTTTCAGAATGTGAGTAAAAAAATGCCATCAACATCACGGCCGAGAGTAACTGGTAGTTCCAGTGGCATAGGGCGCATTCCAGCTAATACGCCAATGTCGGAACGCCAACAAATGGCTTTGCTTATGCAAATGACATCGAATCAAGGTACGTATTGACAATATTCACCGGGTGATATTTTAATAAAATAGTGAGCATTGTTTAGTTAGTCATGTTTTTCAATTCATCGTGTGAATGTGTGTGTGCGCGAATGTATATTTATTTCAACAACTGATGTAATTGTTTGATAAATTGTTAAATAGAATCAGCAGCCGGGAATAGCGGACATGGGCCGGCCCGTTCAAGAGATCGCAATGAACGTGGCGAAACTGCAATGCATGTTGCAGCAATTAAAGGTGACCAAGAAGGTATCAAAAAGCTACTCGAACAAGGAATGAGTCCAAATGTTCCCGATTTTGCTGGTAAGTTTGACACATACATAATCAACAAACTATTATTGAACACAAAATATACGACATATTTAACTGAAATTAAATGATATTGAACTATTTAGGGTGGACACCATTACACGAAGCGTGTAACCATGGTCACTACAATGTGGCATTAACTTTAGTCAAGGCTGGTGCGAATGTAAATGCTCGCGGATTGGATGACGATACCCCACTTCATGGTAAGTTAAATCAATTGCATTAAAATTGCATTTTAAAATAGCCGATTTTGACATATATTTGTAATGTTAATAATTATTTTATTTTTTTTTTTATTTCAGACGCTGCCATTACAGGTCAATTGAGACTGGTAAAAATGCTTGTGGAACGTGGTGCCGATCCATGTTTTAAGAATCGCAAGGGTAAAACACCATGTGATGTTGCTGCAGCCGCTGTTCATAATTTCCTCGTAACTGCTAGAGGTGAGTTCATAACAAGTAAATTCATGAATATTTTGTTGAAAATTGCTGAATTATCACAGCCCGTACATTATCATTGTAGTACACAAATGTCAAAATGGAATTACAATTATGTGCATAATGGCATTGTAGCATATGAAGCTCATCAATTTTAAATCGCTTCATTTTGTTTCGTTTCAACTATGCATACGTATAAAAGATATAATCATAGACCAAAACAGATGAAAACCATCAAAGAAATTTGAAATCATTTGGGATTGTGAAATATACTTTGTTATTTCCACCGATAGGGTTTTTCACAGACAGACATTATTTATTCTCGGTGCGTATTATAATTCGATACAGACAGTGCCATCTATTGTGTAATTATCCACTATTTGCCATTGAGTTTAGTGTGAAGTCACTTACATTAACAGTACTAAACAAAACCATCATTTTGCATGTTAAATCACTGATTATAAAAGCTTTTAAATTCAGTGCAATCAAACGTTGACCGTGTCGAGCGTTAATGTTTATTAAAAATCAGATACATTTTTCAAATTAAATGTAAAAATGATACATTTGAAATAATTGCATACAGGAAGAAAAATAGTATGGCGCCTCCGCCGACCTTTTTTGTCATCCATTTTGTAACGAGCCACTTACTTTCGCAATTCATTTTACGTTTTTTTTTTATGCTAAACGTTTTTTAGATCGCTCTGAAATCCAATGCTGACAATGATAGAATGTTTAAAAAACAGCAAAATGACACGAATGGGCATAAAAAAGAGCAACAAATTAAAACAAAAATGCAACAATTACAATGTATGTCATATGCTTTCAGATTTTTTGGCTTTGTTTTCATAAATTCATGAGAAACTGAATCTGATGTATAAGCAGATTAACACTTGTATGATGTAAGAATGAGACGCATATATATATCGGATTGCGGTCGTTCGGCGTTCATCGTTTAACTTATATTGTTGTTACATTCTTTATTTGTAAATTTCGCGCGTGATACCATTGACATACGACGGTCGACAACGACAAAACACTCTAAACCGAAAGAACAAACAAAACAGAAAGAGAGAGAGAGGGAGAGAGGAAAAGAGAAAAAAGAGAGAAGAAACAACGACAAAGTATTCTATGCAGGGTGCCTTGTGTCCAATATTATCATCATTGTTTATCGTATCTTTAGTTTTATTCATATTTGCGATAGACTTTTATGACAAGTAAAACCGCCGAACACCCTGTAGATCACCACAATGTGTTTTCGACTGTTGGTGATTGTGTGACCATGGTATAGTTGTGTCGTGAGTGCGTGTTATGAGCATATATATATACATGAGCGAATGATTGTATTGTGTATTGAATTGAAAAAAATAAAAAGAACGGAATAACATAACATAACGTAAAGACGGTGTGTGTTGGTGTAAGGTTGCTAATTATCTTTATAGCCGCAGTAATCATTGAGTGAGAGTGGCTTGCAATGGTTGGTTTTGAAATGACATCAAATTTATTCATTCCGAAAGACTAGAGGAGATCCTTTGATTTTCGGTTTCGATTACGGTTGAGATTGTGTTTTCGGTATTTCGTCCGTTGTTATTGTACGATGTAATGATCACAGTTTGTTTGTCCATATATATATTTTTTTCTATTTAGTTGTTTTGTTATTATTTTCCGAGTGAAAATTCCGTTCGTCGAAACAAAAAAAAAGAGTTATACTTGTCATTTTCTTGAAGAGTTGTCAATCAAGCGTGAGTTTTAAAAAGCTAAAAAAGAAAAATCAAATAACACTTTGAGAATTTTAAAAACGAAAACACACATAAACACATCAAAATAATCGTAATTTAATTAATAAAATTAAGTGCGTTTGGTGATCGATAAATTGGCTTAAATGGTTTCGTTTGAATCGAGTTTGTTTTTCTTGGTATATGTTTCGTATTTATTTTTATTATCATCAAAAAAAATCTGTCAAATTTTTCCGCTAGTTTTTCACTGTTCAGCGGCTGAATTTACGTACCTACCTCTACACACATGCATCATACAGTGTAGCGATCGCATGTTGTAGACGGGTGTATTCAACATACACGAGAATGTGCACATCGCGGTTTTGCTATTGCCATTAGTTATTGCCATTCCTTGGTTGTTTTCTTCTTTTTCGTTTCTTTTTTCTTCTACTTCTTTTTATTCTTTCTCTGTTTCGTTGTGACTTTTTTTGCGTGTGGATTTATTCACATCTCTCTCGCGGTTGTCGGTATATATTCATCATTGGTAGTGTGAGAGTTTTGACTTACAATTGAATAAGTGCTGAATTTTGACGCTTTTAGTAGTATTGACCGTTTACACCGAAACAGTGATTCAAGTGAAAACATACACAAGATAAACTATAAAATAAAGAAGAATAAAACACGCACTCTTCACACACATACATACACACAACTTATATTTCGAATTGAAACAGAGGGGATACATCGGTAAATTCAAACAAATACATGTGCATGCCGCGGTTTTGCTATTGCCATACTTTGTTGCCATTTGTTTAGCATATGAATTATTGCTAATACTGTTTTGAGTGCAAAGGTACAACGATTTTTTAAGTATGAACCAGATGTAGTTTTAAGAAAGAAAATAAGTATACACACAGAACAAACGTACTGTTGTTAAAAGAATAGCAGCAACAAACAACGAAATATAGTGTAAACAAGTGCGAATTATATGCAGAATGTGAGCAAAAAAGATACATACACACACACAGCAGCTAGACAGTTTTTAACAAGATGCTTAATGGTCAACTATCCTTTTTATATATTACTACTTGTGTTTAAATTTTATTGCCGTAAGCAAATATTTCGTAATAAACTACAACGATTTTTCCCTTCGGCAACATCGAAAACAAACATTCAACTTGTTGATTTCGAAAAATATACAAAACATTCCACGATTTTTGCGAATTTAAAAAATAAATAAATAAATGATTAAATGTAACAAAGTTTAGTTTTGGCTCTTAAAATTTTGAGATGGTTGTTTTTATTTTTACTAATGGCAGAAAAAGCAGCATAATATTCATTTTGTTTTCTGTATCTACTTGTACTTAAGTACTTGTGGACAACAATAATATTTCCACTTGTGAATTTTTGTGTATTAAATACCAAAAATATGAATCAAATAAAAATGGAAATGTATTTGTTTGGTCAAGACGTTATAAGGAAAACAAAATAACGCCACCTAGACGAGTGATATCGCTGAAAGCGGTGAATAAATATCACGTTTGTATGGTTTTAAAAATGTCGTCAGTACGGAATACCGTCAAATTGATATCTAACCGCTTAGATGAATCGCTGCGATGGATCTATCAGATAAATGTTGGGAAATTTCGACAATGTGAAAATTACTGAGTGTCGTTACAGTTGAATCTCATAATTTGGATACTTAAAATACTGAAAATAGACATTTATATTTAGAGATTATAATGTGTCGACACTCAATAAGTTGAAATGTATCAATGTCCCAAAATTTATCTGATAAATCTATCACAAGGACTCAACTAAGCGAATATATCCATCTTACGGTATTCCCTGGTCGTCAAAAACCTGTCATATATAAATAGAGTTGAAAGCGCAAAAACTATCTTTTAAATTTATGAATCACGTTAAGCTAAGTGGTTGATTTTTGTAGCCAAAATAGAATACAGACTGCATCCCCATTGTTTTCACATCACCATCAAAAGCAAGCACAACTAACTTTTAAAACTATGGCCGTACCCTTCGCATATCACTTGTCCACGAACATGACATAATATGCTATTATTAACAAAGTTATCGAGGTTCTCCGGCTTTTTGTCATCTATTATAAATAATATATATATATGTGGATGAATTCCGTTGCAGATTTGAAATTGGCGAATTCAATTCATTCAAAGAAGAATCGTTTGTTGTTCAATGCTACTTTTATAAATAATGGGCCGCGTACCAAAAAACAAGTGATTAGAATAATTTTGCGCATTGCGCACCAGTTTTGAATGTGAAGGTTCTGCAAAATTCAAATGAATCTTATTGAATCTTGATTAGTGGATGCATTTTTAGTTTTCATTTCACATAAATGCATATATGCTCGTTAAAGTCAGAACGAGCACAAAGAAAAGTGAAAAAAAAAATCAATTTTCTAATTGTAAATATTACATTTTAAATGAATGCTGTAAATGTGCGTTTCTTTACTCCTCGCTGCAACTGAGACATTTTGTTAAAATCATTTAAATTGAATCGCTACAAATAATTGCTCAACTTCGTTTGACTTCGCTACACGATGAAAATACACGTGATTCGATTGTAGTCGTCTCGATTCCTCTGATATAAGTAAATCAAATTCAGAATGAGTGTGCTTTGACCACATGGAAATAAATTCGAATTTTGTCGAGACGAGATAACAAATACAACCGTACAGCGTATGTGCTACTGGCTCTATCTTCACTGTGATTATCTTACCACATATATATTTTTTTTTTTTTGAAATGTCTTGTAACACCGATGCATTCGCATACATATTCAATTCATTACTATTTATCATTAGTTCATTAAGAATGTTCATTGTAGCGAACGTTAGCCGTATGAATGCTACGCCATCTAATTGTAAATGAAGATAATCAAAACATATATGTAAACATTTCTCGTGCTAAAGAACTGTGTATATTATAGTTTAATGTTTGCATCGTTCGAAAAATATTTGATGCATGAATTGATATGTGATATGATGAATGGTGGTGTAAACACAAACGAAAAAAAAAATGAAAAGAAAAAAAAATAATCGTATATAATAAAAACGATCTATGTGTAGTGTGTATTACATATAAAAGCTAAGAAAATATTCGAATACTGCAAAGAATGACGCATACGGAATCTTGATGCTTTTTATTTTGTGCCGTTGCACTTTTCGCTCTTGCTTTCTGTAGTTTCCGAACGCTCTCTGTAATTGCGGCTATTTACACGCGCTTCAGATTCTAAATTGAATACAGTTTTTTTATTTTAATATTAACAGCGAGGTAAAAAACTTATTCGCTATTCCTTCGGTAATTCATTTCTAATTATTATCGAATTCAACAGAAGAAGAAAAAACAATAACCGTTTTCTAGATACATTACGAACGCAAGCAATGTGTCATGAACGATTTAATTGTTTATGTTATTCAATTTTGCTATAAGAAAATACACAAACTGAAAAGTGGCATCATGCTAATATTTTAAATAACAATCTACTAAGAATTTGTTTGGCTCCATACATCACATTCTAATAATAATGTATGGGACACATTGATTTCAACTTTTCTTCAAAAGTGTTGGCTTTTTAACTCACACAAAAATACTGTCCATACGTCGAGGCGTGCTATGGCATTTAGAACTCTCTATCACTATTTCACCGTTTTTCTGTCATCGCCTCCATGTACAGTGCTTTCGGTGTCATTGTGAATCTTTTTTACAACATGGGAACGCGATTCGTCGATGAGGAATAAATGTCTATTTTTGTAACTGAATATTTAATACGACGACATCAATAAATAGAGCTGATTTGTTTATATTTGTATAAAGCACTGTACGTCAAAATGGCCGGACGATATTTTCACTTAATAATTGGATGTGTACACTACATAGTATACTCACCCCATATTTCAGGATATATCAACTCAATGAGTATAAACACGGGTGACTTAATATCTCCATGGCAGAGATTTTGCTAATTATTGCATAAACCGCATTTATTGATTTCAATATGGCAAATTTATATCTTTTTTTAGCATCAAACATTCATATCGCATGGCATTAATAATCTATCAGACCATATAACATGCTCGAAATAATTATTTTGACGATGGATTCGGTTGTTCCATTTCAATTTTGTAATTGCGTCAAATTGAATATTGTAATTAATGACGTTTTGCTTACGTCCAGCAGCAGCAGCATGATGTTAATTTATTGCTCATTGTGGTTTTAAATATAATTAATATCCATTACTTTGATCGGCATTAAAATCACCGATAAAATATATATGTGTCTTATAAAATATAAAATTTTATTTCTATACATTTTCGATTTTCAATGATAAAAAAAAACGTCGATAGATAAGACAATTTACACAAAGCATTCTTCAAATCGTAATGAAAATTCGTTTTTTTATATTTGTTTTCCTTTCTCTTGCCCATCTGTATGTCAAACAAATGCCCTTATATTTCGAATTGATAAATGAACAGCTTTAGAATTTTCATTCATTGAAGAATACAAATATGCATTCTCGTGTTGGTGATAGAATGGTATTTGATTAAAGTGTCAATGTATTTGAAATAATGTGCAGTTCATGTGGTCGCGTTTACATGTATTGTCACATATTCATTGGATTTATTCAATTTCAAACTATAAATTTGGACGTTTTACCATTTGTGTAATACCGGAACCACGAAAAAATTATTTGAATTCGGCCAAGATCACCAAACAAGGGCCAACAAGGTCCAATCGTGTGTTCATATCGTTATTGTATTTCATAAAGAAACAAATGAAGAAAAAATGTGTTCAATTGTTTTGTATTTGAAGACGTGTACGTTCTGTTTCTGAGCCTAGCGGTGGGAGAAAGTAAAACAAGCCGACCCAAACGTAGAATAATTGGTGACACGTCATCGCCTGCTTTAAAATTCAATTGAATGTATCGCTGTAGTCAATTTCACATTTTCAGTCATCTAAATAAATGGCAGCATTTTTCCTCTTGAATCGCGCTTCGTATTATTGTAGTAATTCTATTGTTAGGCACTGTACTATATAGTGTACTTGCTGGTGCTGTGTGTATTGTATTTCATGCTGATGTGTTGTGCTGTGCTGTGCTGTGTTGTGATACTCTTTCTGTATACTATAATACACGTTGTCTTCTCGTTCGATACTCGTTTCGATTCGTTTCGCATTTTTGCCCATGCTGTCAAAGTAGTAAGGTTACATTTTGCAAATAGATACAACAACACGGACTACAGCAAAAAAAAGCGAAATAGTTATATTCGTTTCTGTGCAATGAAAATATGAATGTGTAAAGTAATTTGTTTTCAATCGTGAAGAGTGTGAAACAAATGAATAAATATATATCTATATGTTGTGTGTATGTGTATGTTGTTTATATTTTATAATGCAAAGAAACCAACAGAGACAATGTAAACAATGCAGTACTGTTTCTGTTTCAATTTCGGTTTCCAGTTGTTGTTGTTGTTTTTTTCGGTTGTCGTCTTTTTTTTCTCTTTCGTTTTTTTTTTTTTTGTTCATTTGCCTCTTTCGCCTTTTAATTTGATTGTTATGTGTTTATTTTAATGAATTTCACTACCAAACTCTGTTATCTGAAGTTTAAGTTGTTGAACAGTACTCTTTTGCTCCTTATTTTAGTAACGGTATTTCGTATACCATACAAATGTACATACATATTTGATATGAAAGGCTTGCTTTTTTTTAAAAGTCGAATACACAACTGAATATTGACGCGGATAATTTCGACCATGAATTTAAAAAGTAATTTGTGCATTATATAAACTAAAGAAAGTGATATCAATGGAATTTTCGGGTAGAATACAATGCGCAATTAAATAATAACAGGACTTGCAAAGAAGCAAAAGAATGCGAATATTTTGTAAAGGTCTTTTATTGTATGATCTTTGTTGAAAAGAAAGCTATGTTAGTGAACAGTTCTTTTATACGCCGAGATATTAGTAGTTTTAATAGTTGGTTTTTCACCATGTTAAATACTCTTTTAATGAGCCATTCAATTATTATTAATGTCAAACAACTCGTTACAATAAAACCTAATCAATTTCATCTCTTTTTCTCTTTTCCAATTTCGATAGATGCAGCTATTAGTCGAGCACAACAACAAATGAAGAAAGCAAGTGACGGAAAGAAGTCAATGGACGATCATGATGAATCAAATGTAGCATCAGGCAGTGGATCAACATCGAAAGCCACATCAAAAGAAGAAGATGACGTATATGAATTTAAAACAACGCCAAAAGATTCATCGTCCAGTTCAGGTGACGATAAATCAGACGGTGGAAAATGTTCCGATAAATCATCAGATGAAAAAAGTGATGAACAAGGAACGAAACGTTCATACTCCGATATCGAGGGCGATGGAGATGATGAGGTGAAACGAAAAAAACGAAATACTGAAGGAGCGTCAAAGGATTTAAACAAGTCCACATCGAATCGTCCACAATCACAGCGTCAGGAGAAAAATTCCAAATTTCATGGGGCAACTGTCAAAAATTCAAATTTAACCAGCAAAAATGTATCAACGCTTGATCGAAAAAGTCCATGTGCAAGTCCAAAACCAACATCGACGAAAACTGACAGTGATGTCGAAATGGACGATAAAAATTCGGGTTCCGATTCATTTGCGGTTGGTCCAAAAGTGCCACCATTAAAAATAGTAATACCACAACAAACATCGAATCCTGATCAAGAAATGGGCACACGAAATGGCAAGAACATTTCAACCCGAAATAATGCTGCATTACCCTATGTGGTTGCATCATCGTCGAATAGCAACGATTCGGCTGATAAAGAGAGTGCATCATCTCGTTGTACAAGTCCATCTGATTCAACGAAAAGCGTTGATGACAAAAAAACTGGCACAACACTAACCAATGAAGATCAGAAACAACAAAGAGTATTGCGAAGTTCAAATAGAGGTGGATCATCGGTTGACCGAGGTTCCAACAATTCATCACCGCAATTACAAAGCAGTTCACCATCACCAGCTCCAGTTACACAAACCGGCACAACAACCACCACCACATCAACCAATACAACGTCATCGGTATCAACTCGTGTTGATACGACAAAACCAGCAACTCCCGCATCTAGTTCAACGGTTGATAGTTGTCCAAATACGACAAACATGAACACAGCTAGCCCAAGTAATCCATTGAATACGGAGACTGAACCAACTAATGCTCCCAGTCCGTCAGCATCATCAACATCGTCCACAAAAGAAAGTTCACAAAATACAGCCGATTTACATCCGCGAAAACGAAAAATACGCGCTAGTAAAGATGAAAACAAACAGGTATGCATACATTTTGACTATTTTCAAACGAAATATTCAAAATCATATTTATTTATTTATTTTATTGTTTATTAATTTCAGATTGTTCCGAATACAAATTCATCATCATCCTCGTCCTCCTCGTCATCGACAACTCAATCGAATACAAATAACAACGATCAAAATGAGAGCACAACCAATACGGAAGTGCCGCATCCACATGATCAACCCATCACCAATTGTTATCAAATGTACTTAAATATTCGCAAACAAATTGAACGACGACAACGAAATCTATTCCCTGTCCAACCGAAGCCACCGCAAGGCTTTAAAGATTATCTACTGAATCGGCGAACATATGTGTTGGCCAATAAAACATCGATGGAATCAAATGCCGGATTTCCAATGAATTTGTCGTCACAATTACGAGATTTATTTATGCAACAAGAGAAGGAACGACACAAACTAAAAATGCAACATGTCGTCGAAAAGGAGAAGCTGGTTCTTTCAGTTGAACAAGAAATTTTACGGGTCCATGGTAGAGCTGCACGTGCATTGGCCAATCAGTCACTGCCATTCTCAGCTTGCACAATACTTAAAGATGATGAAGTTTATAACATAATCACTCCGGAGCAGGAGGAAAAAGATCGTAATGCTCGTTCTAGATATAATGGAAGACTGTTCTTAAGTTGGCTTCAAGACGTTGATGATAAATGGGAGAAAATTAAGGTAATGTTTCAAATGAATATCTCGTTTTTTTTTTAAATACTAATATCAATTCTTTTTATTCTTCTCATTTATAGGAAGCAATGGTTCTACGGCATCATAATGAAGCTGAAAGCTTACACGCTGTACAAAAGATGGAATGGGAATGGAAGATGAAGGAGTTAGTGTTGTGCGAGTACAAAGCACAACCAGTTATTGATGAAAACCATGTTCCAATGGTTCATGTCAGTGACGATTTTGACTTGCTTCCATAAACCATGGATGTATCGTTTATTTTGAACAGCATGTGATTTTTTATCTGAATACGTTTAGAAATAATGTCAATTTTTTTACGAATATAACAAAATTTATTTGACAAAAGTCTATCAAAAGCACTTTTGTACGATTGTAACATTGAAGTTTCAATGATTTGAATAATAAATACACAGAATCAATAGATATATTTTTACAATGTGTATTTTAAGAAAAAAAAAAAAAAATAAAAAAACTAAAAAAAAAAACTATAAAAAAAACTGCGAAAAATCTCAATAATTATTGTATATTCATTTGGTTTTTGTATCTTATATAAATGATCTAATCTAAGCTTACTTTAATTGAATGCACCCATTCGTTCATAATCAATCACCGATCTTAATCGTATTTTCGAAAGCCTTTGCATTTACTTGTTTCAGAATTGTTTTAAGTGCCATCCCAGGACCACATACAAATGTATCCGGTAATTGATTGTTTATTTTGAGTTCGTACAAAACATGCATTATTTGCTCCCACTTTACCGGCATAACAATTTGTTGAGGTAGCTGTTTTAATATTTCTCCCTTGCTCTCATAGCGTCTAGCAGTTACATTCGAATAGACACTTATAATTGGTTCGTCTAATTCAATTTTCTTTAAGATATTTTTAAATGGCATGACTGCCGATTCCATGAGAGACGAATGAAATGCTCCATACGCTGGTATCCGTATCATTTTACTCAAATTATATGTTTTCATATTTAAACTGATATATCGTAGTGCTTCTTCACATCCGGATATCACTTTGCATTGTGGAAACAAATGATTGGCAATAACACATTCGGGACATTCAACGCCTGCATCTAAACACCACTCTCGTGCTTTTTCACATGCCAAACTGAGTTTTGAATTCTTATCATCTTTGAATATAATGGTTGCCATTCCGCCTTTATTTTTATCACTGGCCAACTGCATTTCCTCTGCCCGCACTCGAACTAATTCAATACCTTTAGTGTTTGGAAAAAATGGTAAACGATAGATTATTAGCTATCTCTTATGCCATCATTGTCAATAAATTAGAAACAAACCCTGATCGAATGGTATAGCGCCGGCAAAAACTAAAGACGTTATTTCACCAAGACTAAAACCAGCTGTTCCGATGCAACTTTCAATTGCATCTGGCCGATGTTTTTTTAGCAATTCAAGAGACGCCAACGATGTTACCATTATAGCTGGCTGACAATAGATGGTTTGATTCAATTTTTGTTCGGGACCATGATTACATAGTTTCAATAGATTATAACTGTGAAGAAATTAAATTCGGTTTTCAAATGATTCAATTTGTATTTAATAAAAATTATACCCAAGAATTGAGCTGGCAATGTCAAATATTTCCACAGCTTCTCGAATATCTACAAGAGATTTGGCCATGCCAACAAACTGTGATCCCTGTCCTGGGAATAGTATGATTGTTGGTTTGGCTGGACACTCTTCCGGCCGAAATGCGCGTAATCCCTGACTTTGTCTTAAAAAACGTCGTCTATTCCGTTCATTTTGATGACTGTCAATGATATTGTGATTGCTGCTGAGCAATCGCCTTGAAATATCTAATGATTTTACATTTTGTAAACATTTTGCATAAATTTGCCTTTGAATCATTTTAAACTAAAATTTAATAACAAAACAATCAATATAACAATGTTCACAGAACGATTTGAAATGATTGTTTGCGCTAACCTATCAAAATACACACATGCGTGTTGACATAAGTGACAGATTCGATATGAATACGGTATGAATGTTGTCGATAATGATGATAATGTAGATTTTAACCTAAAAAAAAAGAACAACAACCGAAAACATTTTCGTTTTTTCTATAATAAATGCTTTATTTGAATTTGTTTATAATAAAATCTACTTCTTTTGTTTAACATCACCGATATGTATCGATTGACGAAAAGCTTTAAGATTAACTCGAAATAAAATGTTTTTAAGTACAACATTCGGACCACAAACTATAGTTCGCGGAAAATATTCGCCTCGTCTTCGTGCAAACATATTATGCATAGTTTGTTCCCATCTTACTGCTTTCACCAATTGTTGTGGCAACAATTTTTCAATATGTTTTGCATTCGCGTATGGTTTTGCGGAAACATTTGAATAAACCCGAATTATTGGATCTGAAACGATCATTTGTTTGAGTGCTTGTCTGAGCGGCTCAATTGTCGGCTCCATTAATCTACAATGTGCAGCTTGTGCATTTTTAATACGTTGTATTGTTCGAATGCGAAATTTTTCTAGATTCTCCTCAAAATATTGGAGCGCTTCTTCACTGCCGGATATAATCTTACACTTCGGATACATATAGTTTGACACAAAACATTCGGCTTTTTCAAATTTGTTTTTAATGCACCATTCTTTTGCTGCTATGCAGGCTTTTTTTACTTCAGAATCAGGACCATAATATATTGTTGCCATTCCACCTTTGTGTATTTCATTTGCTGCATGAATTGCTTCAGCTCGAATTTGAACCAATTGCAATGCTATTTAAAATGAAAGCTCATTAATGTTGGTTAAAATCTATTATGGAATTATTTTTGTGTATACCTTCATCAAATTGCAATGCACCAGCAAATACAAGGGCTGTTATTTCGCCAAGGCTGAAACCGGCGGTTGCGACACAATTTAACACAGCATCCGGTCGTTCTTCACGAAGCATTTCCAAATTAGCCAATGAAGCAGTCATTATGGCCACATGACTGTATCTAATATCATTCAACTGCACTTTGGGTCCATTATTACAAAGATTCAATAAGTCATACCTAAAATCATGTATAAAATAAAAAGATATATAAAAATAGAATGGAAAAATTTCGTGTTTGAACCTACTTGAGAATTTCGCTCGCATAATCGAATACATCTTTGGCAACAGGAACATTCACCGCCGACCTTGCCATACCAACAAATTGAGCTCCTTCACCGGGAAAGAGGATAATTGAAGTATCTCGTGGATCGACTTTTGTTCGTACACTACCCAGATCGTGTTTTTCTTGTTTGGACATAAGTGTACCTTCGGCGTACGGTAAAGTTGTCCACTCATCTTGCGTTTCTTTAGGACTGGTTTCAACAAAACTTGTCGAATTATCTAGCAAATCTTTTATTGTTTGTATACGGTCACTATAACATGAAGATTCATTTCTTTCTTTTGCAACCGATGAGGTTATATGCAGACATTTTTTAAAATCTTTTCCCCCGATCAATTGTATTTTTAAGAGATTTCGACGAATGCTCGGTATCATTTTAAATTATATTCGATTCGATTAGTTTAACCAAACAATATATAGATATGTCAAAATAGCTACACATGCGATAGAGTTACACATTTGACAGATGACAGTTCGACGATATACACAAGACGTAAAAATTTGAACGTGTAAAAACATTTTGATATTGTGTTTGTAAAAATTGAATATGGATCATTTGAATTCGGTGAAGGAAGAAATTGTGGAAGAATCATTTGCCGAAAATGAAGATCAATATTATGATGGCGATGACGATGATGATGTTGATGAAAATAATAGTGATAACGAAGATTTTTATTTTGAATCGGATCATTTGGCATTGAGAGGAAATTCAGACTATCGCTCCGTTTTACGAACAATTGTTATTTTGGAGGCTCAACGAATCGAAGCATCAAAACATATCGATAAAATTGCTGAAATGCAGAAAAGAGCATTGGAAGACCCCGAAGACTTTCTAAAAAAACTAATATCAAAAGAAGGCTTAGATTTGCCGGCACGAATAAACATTCAGAATGTAAACACTCCATTTGTTTGGATTTTTATAAATCAATTGAATTGGAAAATGATGGTTTCCTTCTATTTCAGATTCCAAAGATCAAATTTGAGAAATATAATATGCCAAATTCAATCAGTATGTCAAATACACAAGAAAGCAAAGTGAAAGAAGAGAATGATTTCACCGTGCGAGGTAGAGTATTCAACGAAACAAAGCCGGAAACATTCAACCAGGTAAATATAGATTCCGATTTTTATTCTCTTTTAAATTGACAAATGCTTTTTGTTCGGCTAAAATCTCGGTTATCATTTTTAGCTTTGGACGTGCGAAGAGCAACGTCGCCTCGAAGAGCTATTGGTTGAATATCCACCCGAACCGATTGAAATGCGTCGTTTTGCCAAAATAGCCAAGGCATTAGGTAATCGAACACCACGACAAGTGGCGAGCCGATTACAAAAATACTTTCAGAAATTGCATGCAGCCGGTTTGCCGGTACCTGGTCGTATTCCGCGCAATGCCCGATCATACAATACTTCTCGTAAAAATAGAATGGTCAAACATATGGTGCGACCGACAACATTTTTCCCATCAAACTATGTTCCGGTCAATATCACTGAAGACGATGATAACAATGCAATAAATTTACTTGATCCAAACTACTATCGAAATGGTTGCAGCGTCAAAAATATGAACGATGAAGATATTGATAATATGGTGATTGTTGATGAACCGAGTGATACCGAACCAGATCCAAATGCAACTGATACAATAAAAATGGCTGCGATCATTAAAAGAGTTAAAAGAGAAAAAGAAAGGGAATACTCACTTGAAACAACAATTAGTGAACACAATGGATACAAAGTAATTTGATTTTTATAAAATGTTTTTTACTTATTCATGAATATTAATTATTAACACTTATTTACATTTATTTAGTGCGATTATTGTGATGAGGATCCGATTTCTGGCACCCGATGGCATTGTATTACATGCAAAGATCAATCAACTGATTATTGTTCAGATTGTTTGGTTGCTCAAACACAGGACGATAATCATCATTCGTTCGATCATATATTTATTGGGTATCGTGTGTCGTCCGATTTCAATGGTCGTTCCGATGTCAGTGACGACGATGGTGATGGTGATGGCCAAGGGAACGAGGAAGCAAGTGAAGATGCCAACGACGATACATCACAATTTATTGATTCACCCGATGATAGTAATTACGATGAATCGATGGACACATTTGATAAAGATTATGTTCCAAAATCAACAAATCAAACGAACAATTATTTAGATCCGAACTTTTTAACGAATTCAAAATAAAATCTATTTATTTTCTATATATAACATACTGCTTTTCAAAATTCTATAAATTCATCAAAAACAAAAACCAATCAAACATATTAAATCCAACAAAATTTTGGATTTTTTTTCATCATCTCATCAGTTACGTTTCTTTTTTGTCGGATGGAATGGCTTCGAATAAGACTTGAATGAGGAATGTAAATTTGTCTAAAAAAAAACAAAATAACGAAACCAAAAGTTATAACAAAAATTCAATATTACGGATCAATATTCAATTTACCCATTATTTTTGGACGGTATTTGTAACAAACGAAAGGAATATAAAATATCAAGCCGGATATAATGAAACCTAATGCAGCCAAATACTTGGCTGGCGGTTGATTATACATTGGAGTCACCGTAAGGAACACGGCTACGGCCAACGTGAGGAATGGCACAATTAATGGCACCTTATATGGTCGTGGTAGATCAGGTCGAGTTTTACGTAAAACTAATAAACAAATAACAGCCGCACCATAAAACACCCAAATTAAAAATGATGCGAATTCAATCAGCTCGTGAACATCACCCATCAAAATGAATATGAACGAAATTAGACCCTGTAAATAGTGAATCAATGAAAAAAATAATCCAATTTTTATGCTAGAACAAAGGATTTACTGACCTGTAAAGCAACAGCCGGTCCCGGTGTCATTCTTTCATGCTAAAATCAATAGAATTTTTTTATTGGCACAAATTACAATTATTAACAAAATTCAACAAAAAACACTCACATGAATGTATGACATTGGGGCCAAGAAATGACCTTCACGTCCAGCAACAAAACACAGTCTAGTCACACTAAATTGTATACTCAACGCACATCCGAATGTGGCCAAAGCAACGCCAAGCGGAATTATAAATGCAAATGGACCAAAGACACGTTGTCCAAATTCAACAGCAACAGCTTTTGAACTAATCATTTCACTTGGCGAGAGTACAATTAAATACGAAAAATTCATAAATACATATAAAGCTGTTATAACGGGCACCGAAATTAGGATCGATCGTGGAATATTTCTATAAATAACAGAATCAACAAATAAGATTTTTTTTCTGTAAATTTGTGTAACATTCATAATTACTTTTCTGGTCTTTTAATTTCTTCCGTTACGCATGTAACGCTGACCCATCCATCGTATGCCCATAGACCATTATAAAATGCTAATGCAATATTTCCCGGATTTGTAGTGGTCCCTTCGAAGCTGGAACTAAGATCTCTGCTATTTCCACGACACAGCTCATATACACCGCCAAAAATAACAACTACGCATGCAACCACCTTTCCAATGCTACAAAAATTATTGATACTCACGAACAGTTTGACACTCCGACAATTTATGTATGTAACAATTACTAAAAGAATTTGTTTTTAAAAAATAACATTTTGGGAAAAAAAAAACAAAGACAATGTTGAATTACATAAGGTAGCAACAGCCAGCAACTTTTTAAAATTCTGTTGATTTGTCTCATCTAAATTATCAAAACCAATATTTATTCGTATCGGTTCAATACAGTATGTTATGCAAATGAGAATAAGGATAGCTACTTCGGCTGGTCGTAGAACCATCACATAAACCCAATTGCAAATAAATGCTGGTAATGGCCCCCAAAACTTGTGCTGCTTGGAAAATGTTTCTAATAAATAGGCATATTCGGCACCCGATTTAGGAACTATAAAGAAAAAAATCGAAGCGAATGATTTTCCATAAGAATTCAATTGAATTGTGTAGATAGGCCGACTTACCAACAGTTCCCAGCTCTGCAAAACATAATGCACCTATTTTTACAAAGAAAAAAATGTCATACAGTGCGAAGTATTTAAACAAATTGAAGGAGTAAATTGAATATTAACAAACCAAGTAGTGAAATGATGCCACATGATGCCCAAATAATTAAACATAATCCCACGCTTCCTGAAGAAAATTCACAAAAATGAGATAAGCAATTCAAATAAATAAAAAAATTAACATTGGTATTTCATGTACCTGAATATTGTAACGCAGACGTAGGTGAAATGAATATGCCTGAACCAATCATTACACCAATTATAATATTTACAGCGGCCTGTAAACATACAAAGACTTCTGTTACAAGAAAAACTTGACCAACGAACGCATAGTTTACTTACCAAAAGGCCAATATTCTGTTTTAACCCGACATCGGTTTTTTCTTCTTTAATTACAGCTGAAATTGAATGAGAAACAAAAACGCAATAAAATGGTAAACATTTTATAAAAATAGCATCCAAATTGTTTGAAAATAAATATTGCGCGTGTGTGAGTATCGTACGGGACATTGACATTGAATCATAGAGCATTGATCATGTTTTTGCTCCTGTAGTTTGATTTCGGTGATCAAAGCAATAATCCAAAGTACAGTGGACTCATTCGACCTGAATCGGTCGGTAAGCACTTTTATCTTGAACTATTTTGATCGCCCTTCTGTACATAACAGATGAACAAATCCAAGATTATAATTCGCAACATTCTTGAAACGCAGGATCAATTGTCATTGATCACACATCAAACGTAACTGAAAAATTCTCTTTTTTGTTCGTATTGTTACAGGTCAGCTAATAAAAGCTGACAAATTTGGTTAACCGAACCAAAACTGAATGATTGAATGAAATTGAGAAGGAAATTACGATATTAATGAAGGCGTATTCAGTGAATATACATTCATCTAGCGATTTGAAGAAGTCTTTGTCTGTTTTGTGATGCTCCCACTTTGTGCCAAATGCTGCTCGGCTGGTTGTAATTTTGAAAAGAGCAATTTAGAAAATTTCATAACGGAAACGACAGTACTCTTTCAACCAATTTATTTATAAATAAACTGGGACTAGCGATTGCTTTTCAGACCAATTAATTTCGTCGTTCTCATCGTTGATTGCAAAAGTGTGTCTGGGTCGGTACGTGAATGGTTTTAAAAGGAACCGCATTTAAGGTCCTATTTATTATCACTTGATGACTTGAATGAAATAAAGCGGTGAGCGTGTGAAGCGTTGGACTATATAGTTAAAAAAACGGTAGAAATATATCACATATTTTTACTTACTCATTTTGATTTATATACTAGAATGAAACCAAAAAGTTTTATTTTCCTTGAAATTAAATGAACGGCACCACCAACTACTGTGTTCACATCAGTTATCACGTATTATAAAATTTACATTAAAATGGAGCCATTAACGAGGTATTCTTCATGACTTCAATTATAGTATCGTTGCTGTCCACAGCACCATTAAAGGTTTACCGGTTTGTAAAAATTGTGCGATATGATAACACTTTTGAATAATCTAAGTAAAAAAGAAAAAAATAATAATACATATTAACACAGAACTAAAGCAATTCAGAGCTATTCGTTGAAATGACACAAATTGATTTGCAATATTAGAGCAAATGTTTACGGAAACACGATTTTTTGTTGACATGATGCAGCGGGCTACAAAAAATATGTACAAAAAGAGAATCCGGCCTTTTAAATGACTTTCTTATAATAATTCGTTTAACACGCATACTCCTGATAATATTTGCTCGAACTGAAAATAATTGATAAACAGGCATCACGTTATCAGTATTACGTTTTGCTACGATTTTGCTGACGTTTGTGTACCGCCACACACTTATCGAGTTTGTACGCGAACGTAATACACGAATTATTTCTCGAATATCCACCACATTGTAATCAATCATGTTTTTTTTAATAATATTTTTAATACTTCTTTGATCAATTTCTTTTTTCTTAACTGGCTACTTACTTTGTATTTGAAATAGATTATTCAATAACAATATTAAAAGATAAAAAGAAAAAAATCGCGTCAACGATTTAACCAATCTGCCGGTATTAATGTGAATAATGAAAAATTCTTTCTTGCGACGCATTCATATTGAAGTTTGGAAATATTTTACAAAATATTAGCTAATTGTTTTAATGAATAATTGAACAGGTGGTAACTATTGTGATACAATAATATTTTTGAATGGATATACAACAATTCATGGTTAAATTATCGTCAAATAATGATTAAGATGAGTACAGATACGAGAACTTGTTAAAAAAATACATTTTGACTAATTTTGTATTCATACACGTGAAATCAAGCGGTAAACGGTATGTTTTGTCGTGTACTTTTGCTATTGCATGAATAGTATTTATTTGAAATGAAAAGAATTAATGAAATTATTGCTCAATAGGTTGATGACAATAACAATGAGATAGACTGAAAAATATTCATTTAATTATCTAATGGAGCTTTTAAATATGAGCCTTCTACTATTGAAGAATAAATTACGTGAAGAAAAATGGGATTATTTTTTCAACAAAATACTCTTTTGGAAATAAACTATCGTAATGAAAGAAAAAATTACAATGTTAATGTCAATGTCTAAATAGTAGAAAAAAATACAAATAGTAAAGGCACCGTCTCGGTTTTTAGCACCCTCTTCAAAATGTGAAGGGTGGACAATCATATGGATTCCCAGCCTCTGGGAACGTTATTTCGACGAGATTTTTTGTTTGTTTTTATTATCCTGCATGGAATATTTTGATTTTGACATTAATGATGTTCACAACATTCAGAACTGTATTCGAAAGAATTTAATAAAGTAAAATCAATATAAGGCGAATAATAACAACAACATCTACTGTAAGATATTTTCTATTCATATATTAATACTGTACTTAGTATATGAACAATTGATATTCACCGGGTAGCCCATACGGTTCTTTTTAAAATTCACTACGGTATCGTAACGGATTACAATTTCTTCGTTCTTTCGTTTCTTTTATTTCCTTTCATCGTTATTTATTTAAATTAACACAAAATGCGATAAAAATAAATTACTAAGAAAATTGTGTGTTTAAACGATTGAAAAGAGTCCATCTAAAAATTGATGGTTACTTTGAACACTAATTAATAATCATTAATCAATAACAAATACATATATTATATCAGTAATGTGCGAGCTACATTTTACAGGGGGGGGGGGGGGG